TTTAACGGTTACAACTTAGACATTATCGTTTAATATAAAATTCGAAATCGAACATAATCGTTTATCGTAAGAGAACTTTCGGACTTCCAATTATATATTTTTTTCCATATTTTGCTTTCTTCTTTAATTATATTATTATACTATGTTAACGTAGCTTTTGTTATTTTAATTTATCTTAATAAAAATTTTTTTTATCTTGCATTAAAAGTGAAAGCACAAATGTATAAGTGTAAATTCTTTAGCATAGTACATTCTTTAGTACATTTCGACGTGATAGATTTTTTGAAATGCTATCAATGTTTTCATAAATCATTGTCTTCGCATTTTATAATTATATTTATACCACAGGATTTTTTATATATGTATATAAAATCACAATTGTTCTTAATGCACCAGAACATATTACCATACAAAATTCTATAAGTTTTAAGAAATTACAATTTAAAATTTAACCAAATTTTAATCATTATTTTATATTAATAATTCGAACGAATCAGTTGCCTATTGATCCTTTGTCATTATTGCGATTTTATTTACCGTAAATTAATTTGGCAATTTCTGTATAATTATATATAATTACCGGCATATATAATAAATAATATATAATAAATAATAGATTTAATTTTCATTAAACTTTATATAATTTCATAATTTTTATATAAATATTATTGTATATTATATTATAATGATACATATGAAATTTATTAAATTTAACAAAATCAATAATTATATATATTTGCCGGTAATTATGCATAATAATCAATTATTAACATATGTACAATAATAGCGGAGAGCTTCTCCGTCACTTTTCACTTCGAGATTAATTCCCCGCTAATAGTTTCTCTGAAACGGTAAATAAATTATCCCGCGAAAAGAATTCATCGCTGGAAGATGAACACCCTACACGGCAAGTTGCCTCTGACAGTTCCAGCTTCGCGGTAGAAGCAAGTCCGCATAGTAATCGGAATATGGCGAACAGTTGTAACGGGCATAATATTCTGTCGCATACAAACTGACCAGAATGCCGTTGCCGATGCAGAAGCTCACCCACATGCTGATGTTGTTGAAGACGTTGCACAAGGTTAGAATAAAGGATACGCCGAAAACAATCAAGAACACTGGGTAGAAGAAATGGAACGTGAACGCAAAGATATATTCGTGCCAGATGGTTGATATGAGAAATACGGTGAAGGTCGCGAGCGACTTGTTGCGCGGCACCACGATCTCGTACATATCCTTGTAGATGTACGCGTAGAGCCAGTCTTGGACCACCACGTTCCACGTGCGATGATACATGCGGTAGGACGTGGAGTTCCACCAATCCTGCAACCGACGAATAATTTATAAACCGATTATTTTGACAACAGCCTGAAGAAGTTACCAAGAATCGACCATTGGTATGATTTAATAGAAATTTTTGGTCGTGAGATATTTTCATTGAATGGCAATCTAAGGAACATGTATATAAGTGAGACTCGCCTTATAAAACAACCGGTCAGCGAATCGCAGCATCTCCGCCCAGGCATTCATCCACGCGTGCAGCAGAAGATAGTTCCCGGAGATGAAAACGAGGACCCCGGGAATGCTCGCGTCGATAATATTCTTGACGAACCACATTGGTTCGAAAGGCTGTGTACCAAAGGTATAAAAGACCGGCGTCACAAATTGCTCCAGGATAAAGGCGAAATAGAAGATCATTAGGCCGACTTGGGCGAAATTTTGAATTACGAATTTCCACCTGATCTTTTTTGTCCTGAAAAATAAACCGCGCGAATCTTTCTTGAGTTTTTCAATTATACGATATTATGCCGAAATGACAACCCATTATTGAATTAAGATATCGTTTGTTCTAATTGATTTAAAAATTTGAATTATTAGAAAAGATTAAGAATTCTTTATACATCTCAAAATACTTTAAAAGTTTTTTGTTTTATATTAATATAGTACAACTCCATCAAAAGCAACATTATGGAGTGTCTACAAAATGTAATAGCAAAGTTAAAAATTTAGATTATTGAAGAGAGAGAGAGAGAGAGAGATTGAGGATTCTTAAAGATTAAGTTTCAAGGACTTTTTCTTATTTATGGAGAGATTTATCGAGAAATTGTTTACCTTGGATATTCATCGCGGTATATCAAAGTCGGCGCGAACAGGAAATACAAGTATTGCGAAAATCGAGGTCCACTCGGCGGTGAAATATCGCTATGGGGTTTGTATGATAAAAATCTGGGTGCCACGCTCCTAACGAAAGCATGATGTTTCATGATCAGACGTAACTGAAAAAGCAAATGTCCGTTTAAATGAAGAAAGGTTAAATCATTGTTATTATATTTATAATTTTTAATACGATATATTGGGCGTAAAATATTCAACTTTTCTATTATTATTCTAATATATCTTCTGTAAAATTAAAGAATTATTTTTATTGTCAAAAATATTTTATGTGGGACGGGAGAGAGAACTTCGAATAAGATTAAAATTTTAATTACTTGTTCCAAAAGTAAGGCTATATTGCAAGCTACGCCTAGATTCTCTCTGTTTATTGCTCTATTAGGAAAAATTATAAACAGGACTTGATACATTATGAAGATTGTCAGCCAACCGTAATCCCATAGTTTTCGGGCAATAAGATCTGTAAAAATGGAAAATATTACTAGTTAAATTATAAAGATAATTTTAATTGGAATTGTTTGATAATTCTTATAATTATTCTAGATTGTGTTAGTTATTATACTTTTATATTGTACTATTATTAATATCATATTATATGGTAAAAAACTGATCAATTATTTTAGGTTACATTTTATAATCTTATTCTTGAATCAAATTATTATCATTTATAATTATTTGAATTTTGGTTGACAATTATGTAAAACAATTTGTGTATCTAATTTTTTTTCCTCGATTAATGCTTACGAAATTAATTAGTAATGTTTGCCTTTTGATTGAAATTGATTCAAGTAAGTTTTTCTAATTTCTTGTACGACACACACACACACACACACACACACACACACACACACACACACACACACACACACACACACACACACACACACACACACACACACACACACACACACACACACACACACACACACACACACACACACACACACACACACACACACACACACACACACACACACACACACACACACACACACACACACACACACACACACACACACACACACACACACACACACACACACACACACACACACACACACACACACACACACACACACACACACACACACACACACACACACACACACACACACACACACACACACACACACACACACACACACACACACACACACACACACACACACACACACACACACACACACACACACACACACACACACACACACACACACACACACACACACACACACACACACACACACACACACACACACACACACACACACACACACACACACACACACACACACACACACACACACACACACACACACACACACACACACACACACACACACACACACACACACACACACACACACACACACA